CAACGAGACCACACATCAGCTTCCCCCATGGAGCTTCGACAAACACAAAGCATCCGTTCTACCGGAAGGGGCAGTGACAAAAGGGGCCAAGTCTGTCACTGACTAAAATGAGGAAAGGTATGAAGGAACGGGTCCAACAGAGTGGAAAAAAGAAAACACAGTTTAGGCCTGTCCTTGGCAGACAGGCACCGCCTGTGAGCCGTCCCTGTGGAGCTGCGCGCGCGGCCAGCCGCCTGAGTCTGGGGCCCGGGGGCGCGGGGGCGCGGTCCCGGCAGCAGGCGCACGCGGGGTGTTGGTGCGGCAGCACCTGTGAGCCTCGAGTCCCGCTGAGGCGTCCCAGAGGGCGGCCACCACCAAACGCACGCGGGGCACCCTACCATGCAGAGGCTGCCCCGCAAGGGCCGCGGAAAGGCGGAGGGGAGGCTGCCTGAGACAAGGACTGAGAGACGACTACTTGGGTCAGGCAACCGGCAGCCACTTAAAAACCTTGGGTTCAGAGAAACGTGCTCAGTGTTGCAAAAACGCCTCTCAACGCTGCACCTCACCTCTGCACAACACTGGCCACGGCTGCAATTGCTTGTGAGTTGTTTCAATCTCACCCACAAGTTCCAGCGAAGGCAGAAACCAAGTAAGTTTTGCGCTTCGCTGTAATCCCGGGGTGGGCCCACACGGTGGCTCAAATTTGTAGGACAAATGAAAGGGCCGTGGAACCTGGCGGAGACGGCTCCTCTTCATTCACAAGGCAAAGGCCTGCACCGGAGACAGCGTCACCACCATGCCAGCGTGCCCAGGGCCCCACGGCACACGCCCCCGTGACGGCAGGCCCGGAGGCAGCCGTCCTCAAAGGCCTCTCCCGTCTCGGCTCTCAAGCGCACGTCCAGTTTGCAGCAACTGCTGAGACGTGCGTGCCGCACGCCGGCCCGTCACCTGGCCACTCGGGCGCAGCCGGCAGCTTTCCTCCCGCGGCCCGACGCGCTCCGCCTGCATCGCAGCAGCGGCTCACACGTAGGCTGGCGTCAGAGCCCCCCCACCCCCCCGCGCCCTTGGAGGGACACAGCGGGTGGCGCCTCGGCCCCGGTGTTTGCTCTGCGTGTCGGGGGTCAGGCCTGCTAACGCGTGTCTCTAACAAATGCCCGGGCGGTGACGGCTTCGGTCTGGGGGCCCCACTTTGAGGGCCCCTGTTCCAGTGTGATTCACACAGGTGTCCGTGGCCATGTTTATTTACCCTGTTAAGAAAATCCCTCTGATATCATAATGTAAGCTAATAGAAAATAACTTACTTTTCAAAATTTTTATGAAATTTGAAAAAATAACTGAAAGTAACATTTCAACATTTCCTAAAAATGGCTGCCATGTTTATAGAAGAGGTCTATTCGGAAGGTATCCAGCCATGTAATATGAAAAACAGACACTTATTGAAGGAGATGTAAGATCGAACAAGAAACACTGAGCATAGGACAATGACACCTCAGTCCCTTTCAAAGCAGGCACCTTGGGACCTCATGCAGGTCTCCCAGTCGTATTCAGCTGCCCCGTCATGTTTTCCTGATTTTCACTGACAATCTGAAATCTCTTCTTTCAAAGGTGATTTTCGTTTTGGAAAAAGCCTGAAGTCACAGGGCACCAAATCTGCGCTACAGGAGGACTGAGTCACCTGGGTGACTGGATGTTTCGTCAAAAAACTCCACACAAGACATGATGCATGAGAGGGCGTGTTGTTGTGATGAAGCTGCCAATCACCAGTTGCCCATAGCTGCGGCCTCTGAGTCATCCAAATAATTTCCATGGAGGAATGTTTAATAATGGGAAATTTGATGCAGATTCATTGCTCTACTTGCTCGGTCATCTTGAATGTGATGGCCACACAATACAGATGCTCACTAAATGGCGTCTACCGCCCCCACTGACTGGTACAATGAAGTCATCAGTGTTCACGCATGCGCGTTCCAGTCTACACCCCTTGGCTGCCAGGTTATATCAGTGTCATACAAATTGTTCTCATTACATTAACAATGGCTGGACTTTTTCCAGAGAGACCGTATGTGTATGTATATATCTCTCAAGCCAAGAGAATCTGGCCAAGTTGGAACGAAGTCGGATGTGCCCCCAAAGTGTCACTCACAGCACCTAGGCCACGCACTAGGCTTGCTAATACTGAAAGCCACGACCGCCACTCCCTGAGCACCGACTCCGGGACGCATGCTGTGCTAAAATGGACAGAAATATCTCACATCCATTGTCTCTTCATCTATAAGAATCCAGTGAGGAGGAAGCACAATGTCCACTTCACAAATGAGAAAACCAAGAAGTGACTGGTTCAAGGTCATAAGGATAAAAGTGAAGCTGAAATCACAGCCACGCCCGCAAGTCCGAAGATCAACCACGCTGCCTGGGGCATGGCGACCGGGCACCCAGCACGGCAGTGTCTGCTCCGCAAGCAAACCAAAGGGGCCAGGGAGGGCTCGGGCTCCGCCCGCACACCATCTCCCTCCTGCTGTCCAAGGGGGGAGTGCCACAGGACAAACAGCGGCAGCCAACGCTTCCCAGGGCTCATGGCACATGCTGCTGTGGGGAGCATGTGGTGAGCACTCCTCCATCCTCCCCGCAGAGGCGGACACGAGTCTCCCCAGGTTTCAGAGAGTAGGTAAAACGAAGCCACACAGCCTCAGGGGCAGAGCAGGGCCACAAGCCCTGGCGTCTGACTCCAGAGCCTGTGCTCTGAAATCAGGGCACGATGCTGCCTCTCGCCAGCGATAAGAACATTCCGGAGGAGAGGGAGGAGGGCTCTGCTTCCTAAACACCTCCCGAGGCCTTTGCGCCGCCTGGGGCTGTCACAGCCACTTGGGACCACGAGCACAGGCGCTCGGGCCCCAGCCCTGAGCACGGGCTCTCTGAGCATGGGGCTGATGTTTGTGGCAGCGCCAGCTCGAGCCCGGTGCCCAGGAGCCTCCCCGCAGGGGCAGTCCCTGGCTCTGGACCCTCTTGGGCCTTGCTCGCTTGGGGGAAACAGGAAGGGAGGAGACACGAGAGGGCCAGAGACACGCAGGCGACTGACCCGGCAGGACGGTCTGGCTCCCGCCGGTGCAGCTACGCCTTCGGTACTGACTGCGGGAGCCAGGTGGCCCTCCTGTCTGCGGGCTGTGTCGCCACACAAGCAGCTGTGGTGACAAAAGCCCTTTACGTCTGAGAACACACCTATGGTCACCTTTAAAAGAATGCATAAAAAACATAGCAAAGAAATTCAAACACGGTGCAAGTGATGTTAAGGGCCTGGGTAAAAATCTATTTAGCATGATAGTTACTTTCTTGAAACTATAGATTTCTTTTAAAATCTTTTAACCGCTTAGCTGCTTAAGAAATTTATCGCTGAGTTTTGCAAACAAATCCATCATCATATTTTAATTTTATCCTACTTTAATAAGCCTATACAATAAGTGATCCAAATTTAGAATGTATCAACCTCTAAGAGCGAGTTCCAACACTGGTTTATTTTGTGAGTCTCCTGGGCCCAGACCGCTGCTACAGGCCACGCTCAAAACAAACTTCCCTTGACAAGGCATCAAAAAGGCGCAGAGCTGCCTCTCTGTCCAGCCAGAACCGCGGCGTGTGCTCCCTGCCTCACCCGCCCACCGCGCCCCTGGGCCGAACGTGACCCCACAGCTGCTGCGGCACCGAGGCCAACTCCGCGCCCCCGCCCCCGACTGGTACAAGGGCCACGTCCGCACCAGCATGACCGCATCACCGGTCCCAGAGCCAGTCCAGGCACAGCACACCGTCCCCCCGTGGCCCCCTGGGGAGCCCCATGCCTGCCTCCTGGGCCACGCTGCCCCCTCCTGCAGAGGCGGAGAGCAGTGGGGGCCGACGGCCGGGCTGAGTTCCAGCTCTGACGCGCACGAGCTGTGCAGCCATTCAGCCTGTGTCTCAGTCCTTCTTGGGTACAACGAGGATGGTAACAGTATGTTCTTCAAGAGGTTGTTGGGAGTTTCACAAGAGCCAGAAGCCCAAGTGCTGACTCAGAGTCGGCACCCAGTGATCGCCCGGTGCACGACCCGCCCCAGTGTTATCCACTCCCCGTCACGCCTTACACTCCCGCTCCTGGGTGGCCTCGCCTGGCAGCCCTGCCTCCCTCCCCGTGCACCTGCGCTGCTCCTTCCAACACCTGCCCCGGAATCACTGCCTCCCCAAAGGGTGCGGCTCAGCACAGGCGCTGCGTCGTCCCTGACCCCAGTGCCAAGCACGAGGGCCCGCGTCCGCAGGTCCTCAGGTGTCCACTGAACAACTGCTGCTGAGCACAAAACTGGGGTGGGAGGGGCAAGGCTCCGGAGGGTGGGGGGCAGTGCCACAGCCCCGGGCACACAGCAGACCAGCAGGGTGGCCGGGACACGTGCAGGGACAGCGCCCGCCCCGGCCGTGCTGTGTCCCTGCACGAGCCCCACCTTGGGAAGGCGAGCACATGCCCCCAGCGGCTGGCACCTCCCCTCCACGGGAGCCCCTGGCCAGGAGACCCCACAGACCGTGGCCTGTGGCCCTGGCCGGACCCTGACCCCTATCCCCTTCCCGGCAGGCAGGTGGGGGAAGGGGGAAGGGGTCCCTGCTGCCCGGGGGGACAGGCCCTGGCCTTCCTGGCCAGAGCTGCCCTGGAAGGATCCAGTTCCAGAAACCCATGGGACAGAGGAAGAGCACGCTTTGATATCAACCACAATTTGTGAAAATTAGCAATACACACATTTGCAACTATTACTGGCAACTGATTAAATTAAATCATTATAAATGTCTAAAGGCCCACTCTCTCAAATGAACACTCCTATGTGCACATTATAAACTGTAAGAAATGATAAAGGTTAAAGTCACCAACATTTCAAGAGAGACTTAAATTTTAGGAACTTGGCATGCAAATTAATACAAAGTTTCCCACGTTCAAAGCCTCAAAAACAGTCATTTCTTTAAGGTTCATCAATATACGCCGCACAGCATGTTTCCATGTTTCTTATCTTGTATACCTTTTGTATTCTCTTTGACTCTTTCTGAGCATTCTCTCGGAGTGGTATTTTTCCAAATAACTTCCATCCCAAGTCATTTTGTTTGTCAAGTCTTGCATTTTGTTTTCTAGCAAGCAAATTCCTATAGGAAAAAAATAAAACGGTTAGGGAATTTCTTGGTGTTTACAGAAACACTAGGACAGCCCAGTCCCTCTCTAATGAAAACAAGCAGACTTCCTATGAGTGAACAATGTGAGGAACCACGAACTACTTTTTCAGACTTGATTTTCATGTAGACACAGAATTGTGCAGCAGGCGAAAGAACGTGAACCGCAGATAAGCTTTCTCTTATTCACTGCTATGTGTAATTCTGTAATTTAAAGAAATGTATTCTATCATAACAAAGTATATCAGGAACGGTGAGCTTTGGCGTCAGACCAAAGCGACCTGGGGCTCTGACTCAGCCACGCACTGGCTGCGTGACTCGGACCCGCACCCCCACCGCTCTGGGCCCTGGGGTCAGATGTCCGACGAGGGGCTCTGTGGGCGTCAGAGCAGCGGGCACCCCTCGGTGCCCAGGGAACGGCTGCTTTGGTGCGCGACCCCTCTCTAGGCCGGTGTAGATGACCTGAGGCTAGACCTCTGTCACCACCTACAGCGTCTTCGTGTATCATAAAGTGAAAGCCACCCACGAAACTGTCACCCAGTCTTCTCTCCCAACAGGTAAACACAATTCCCAAATAACGCAAAGAAATCCCAAACGGCAGCACAGGAGGAGCTGGCTTCTGGAAAGCGCCGGACTGGCGCACTCGGTAGCAACAAGAGGCCCCAGGGCCCACTGGGAAGGGCGCCACAGCGGCACCCGGGCGCGGGGAGGGGGAAAGCACCCGAGTAGCCAGGGTGCGCCTCATGGGGCGGCTGCCTGTTTGGGGGGGCTCCTTCGGGTGAGAGCTGTAACAGTTTAATCACCCACCTAAATAATGACTACATATATAAAACAAGGGACGATAATCCACTGACCAGAGCAGAGACGCCTGAGCCCCCAAGGATGCAGACCAGCGAGCAGGCATGAACGAGGCGGAGCGGAGTGGCAGAGCGCGCCCAGTGCCAGATAAAGGTGATGGGTCAGGAACTGACCCCAGCTGCTGAGCCTCTAAGCAGGATGAGTAACAGGAATTGTACACACAGTACCTCCCGCAAGGTACTTGTTAACCACAGAGGCAAAAACAGCTGCTCCACACTGGGGACACCTCCTCGACCAAGGGATCCACAGCAGCACCTCTGACGTCAAGAGAGACAGCACACGCCGCCGTGTGGTTGGCAGCTGCCCAAAAATGCACCCCCCGACTCTAACCTACAGGACACGCAGACACACCCAGACTGAGAGACAGGCTATGACACAGTGGTTCTAGACTCCAAGATGTCAGGGTCGCGGAAGGCAAAGCCAGGCGGAAGGCCCGTTTCAGGTTAAAAGGCGACTCAGAGAGCTGCCTCGTAAACGCAGCGGGCGAGCCCGGACTGCAGCCTGGGCCACGGGGGAAGCTACAGAGATTACTGGGAAAATTGACAGAACGTGAGTACAGAGCACGGATCAGCAAACCGCCCCGAGCTGGTGGCAGTAGAGCTCCCCACCTGAGAGCTGGGGAGCAGCCCGGTGAGAGGAGGCCCCGAGCTCAGGAGACACTCGTGCTCGGGGAGAGGGGCGTGGCACTGCCAGTGGGTTCTTCCAGGGCCCAGGGCCATGTCCCTTGAGCGCGGCGTGGCATGGCTCTGAGCTGTCCCCAGGATCCGGCCCCGGCCCCGCAGGCTGCCCACTGCCTCTGCTGACGCGCCCACGCTCTTCTCTCCACCCAGCGATCCGGGCCCCTCCTGAGAGCAGAGAGGTCACCGCAGCCCTGACCTCAAGGGCCCTGTTCGTGCGCCGCTGCCTCGCTGGTCTCTCTGCCCTCCCTCAACACGCTCCCCAAGAGGGGACACATGTGCCCACTAGACAGGAGCTGCCACCACCATCGGGTCCTTTCTCTGCTAGGGAACGGAGGGCCCAGCAGAGAGGGCTGTCTGTCTCGGCCTGAAGCCGCCGGCTGGGCCAGCACTCTGCACAAAGGACAGCAGGCCTTAGAGAGGCCTGGGTGAGGCCGCCAGGTTTGCAGGAACGGTGGCCTGAGGGAGGGCGGCCCCCACCTGGGGTCTGGCACCGGCGCCGGGAGGCGGCCTTGGGAAGGGGCCGCGCCCAGCTGCAAGGGAAAGCCGGGAGCCTCAGGGCCAGAGGAGCAGAGAGCCTGGGCGGGAGGCAGGGTCGCAGGGACGCAGGAGGCCTGCGGCCTTTCCCAGGGCTTCCCTTGGTCTCCATAGGTTACAACTTAGAGAAAAAGACGTGAGACACCAACGTAGATGAGAAAGGGACTCTCTCGTAAATTGAACATGTCCAGTGACCGAAAGTAACCTCACTGGGTTATGGGACCTAAGTCCCTGCCAGCAGGTCACGTGGGTTGTCACACCCAGGCCACTCCGTCCTTCAGTCAGAGGCCCACTTGCTGAGGGCCGGCCACCACTGAAGCGCTCCCGTTCCAGCTTCCCTGGTGGCCGGGCTGGCCCTCCGCGCCTCGGCTTCTCCCGCCACCAGGGAATCCTCCTTGGGTCCCCCTTAACCCCAACCTGTGAAAGCAGCTGCGGAGCTGCCCTCCGGCAGAGCGCCGCGGACCCTGCTCCCGCCCCAGCAGCGCAGGCCATTTAGTTCAAATACACTTTTATGGAAATTCCCTATAGATTTGAATGTTTCTTACGTCAATGCCAGTGACAAAGTAATGTTATAAAGAAGGGCGTGTTAGTGCCTGCCTGCCAGCTCTCTCGTGAAGCCAGAAGCTCACAGGTCCACTGTGGAAGGCCAGGTCACAAGTAAATGGTGTCCCTAGAACCGGGGCGAGGTGGGCCAGTGACACATTACACGGGCATGAAGCAGACGCGAGACGCCCGGCCCCCACCGCGGCTCCCCTTCCCCTGGCCTCCCCACACCCGCTCCCTGTCCCGGGCAGCACAGGGCTCCCAGAGGCGGGGGCACAGAGGAGACTGGCAGCGGGCGGGGGCCCTGGGGCTGCATGGGAGCGGGGAAAGCCCAAACCCTGGGTGTCGGAGCAGCCCTCGCCCGACACAGCTTTAGACCTGGGTGTCCGGCACGGGAGCCGCCACCACGGTGGCTCCTGAGCACCTGCCACGTGTATACTGCCATGTTGAAATACGTCAGCGTTAATGTGATGTTTCTGAAGTGTCACAAAAAGACTGAAAACAACCCAAGGGTTCAAGACACATTCATATATGGCATTAAGAAGGGTCTGAGGGCGCTTTCTGGAAGGAGTGTGAACTACGGTTAAAGGAAGAGGCGGGTACGTGGCCGTGTAACGTGCGTCCTGCGAAATCACATCGTGCTGGTGGAGACACGTACAGGCTACCTCTGGAGGAAGATGGGAACTGCTGCCAGCCATGGCTCCGGGACGGGTTCCTGGTGGCAAAAGGCACACGGCAGGGAGGGGACCTGACACCATACACTCTCCTAGACTTTTTCGATTTTGAACCATGCAAAGGTGTCGCCCACTGAAAAAAGTTAATAAACCTAGAAACCATTGTTAATAAGGCATTTCTGCCAATAAACGAGGAATGTTCTGGCACCCCTCCCCTCACCCTCCTTCCCGTCGGCAAGGCCCCACCAAACCTCGGCTGTGGCCGGTCTCCCTGCGCGCATGGCGCGGGCGGCTGTGTTGGGCAGAGCGCGCCCCGGGGCTGCAAAGGCTGAGGGGGCTCGAGAAAGCTCCGTGACGCCCTCCTGTGGAGAACACAGGCCCTGCAGAGGGACGAGTGAAAACGTGTTTATTCAGCTGCAGGAGCGCTGGGTTGGCCAAAAATTGAGCATGGTTTTTTCTGTAACGTAAAAGACATTTTCATTTTCACCAATAACTTTATTGCTTTGGCTATTTTGAGTACGTCAGCTCTCTTCCCGGTTAATGATGCTGATTGTTCTCAATTGATGTCTTGACTTGATTACAAGCAGCTTCAGCGGGTCTACCTGACTGTGGGGCATCCGCCAGGGAGAAAGCTCCAGCACCGAACTACCAGCCCCTCTGGACACATTTGAGCAGTCACAGCACCTTCTCCATACACCCCACAAATCTTTTTTTGCTTCTCAGTTGCATGTTTACCTTTCTTGAAATAATAAAGCTATTTAATATGCTGAAAATATGGTGTATTTTCTTTCATCTTCAATATTAAAATGACAACACAAAAATTCATCCATCTTGATAAGGTTTTTAAAGCGCACGCTGACATGACAGCGGTCACAATGCACTCTAACAAAATCGTCCTGAGTGAAGTTACAGACAACCAAGCACTACCATCGCCATCAGACGGAGAAGACCGAACGGACTTTTCGGGCCAACCCAGTACCATCACTGCACCACGTGTGCCTCGACACGGATCCTGGGGGGACTGCTGAGCGGGGGGCTGCGTGGAGTGCCGCCCCGTGGAGGTGTCCGCTCGTGAGAGCATCGCATGTGAAAGCGTCACGTGTGAGGACACCACCCGGGAAGGCATCGCCCGTGAAGGCGTCCGGCCCGGCAGCCCTCCCGGCCTGGTGGCTGACCTCATGCAGCAGCTCTGCGGAGCGAACGCCCGCCCACTGCACAGGGAAACGGTGAATGGTGGCAGTGAGGCTAGAGGCAGTGTCCCGGAGAAAATGGCTCAGAGCTTAGGCAAGCTCCTGAGGTCACCCATGAGGGACTGAGCCCCAGGCCCCCGCAGGGCGGCCTGGCCCGCTGCTGGTGACGCACGGAGTCTGCGCCATGGGATGCGCGGGTCAGCCCGCGGGTAACAGGAGAGGGCACACAAGCTCTGCCGCATCCCCAAGCTTCTCCGACCGGAGAGCGACGCTGCGAGGACGTGGGGAGGACCGGGCAAGAGCTGTGAGAGGGCAGAGCTGCCGGGAGGCCCGCCTGAGGCCTGGCGCTCATCTGCTCGCAGGGAACCCCTGCTGCGTCGGCACTGCTGCCACCTGCTGCGGGGCACGCCCGGGTGCTGGGGGGCTCTTACCATCTGGGGGTGAGGGTTGTAAGAAAATAAAAACCTTCATCATGTGTGACTATGAACACAAAATTA